AAACAAAGGTGAGCGCTGACCACAGGTTCTTGGAGCAAGTGTTGGGCCCAGAGGGCGCCAAGGGGGTAGGCAGTGGGTGCCTTCCTCCCCTGCCCCCGTAGACCAGAGAGCTGCGGTGTGGGGCTGGAGGCAGAGCAGTGACGGAAGGCCTGGCGTGAGGCACAGCGAGGGGCAAAGCGCGGCTGAGGGAAGGCAGGGAAGCGCCAGGATCTGACCCGGCTCCCCGCCTACAGCGCGGGAGGCGGAGCTGCGGCGCCTGCGGAAGATGAACGTGGCCTTCGAGGAGCAGAACGCGGTGCTGCAGAGGCACACGCAGAGCATGAGCAGCGCGCGCGAGCGCCTGGAGCAGGAGCTGGCGCTGGAGGAGCGGCGGACACTGGCGCTGCAGCAGCAGCTCCACGCGGTGCGCCAGGCGCTCACCGCCAGCTTCGCCTCGCTGCCGGTGCCGGGTGCGGAGGCCCCGCCCCCAACCACCCTAGCCCCGCTCCTCCCACCCCCGCGAGTCCCGCCCCGCTAACTCCGCCCTCGACTACTTCGGGCTCCGCCCAGGCTACCGCGAGTCCCGCCCCCTCTGGCCCGGCTCCGCGAGCCCTACCCCTCACCCCCTCACCAGTCTCTTCACAAACCCTCACCTCCCTCCCCTTCGCCACGCCCCTGCGGACCCCGCTCCCGGCTACCCGAGCGCCTCCCGCCCCGCTGCCAGACCTTGCTGCGCCAGCCCCGGCCACGCTGGCTCTCGCGCCCCGCCTCTGACCCCTCCCCTCATGCCAGTCTTCCGCGTTCTTTCCTCAGCTGAGCTGGGCCAATTTCCCCTCCCCCACTAGCCTCCGCATCCCCCCCCCCATCACGACCCCGCCCTCTCCAACTTGCTTCATCTGACCCCTGCCACAGCTGACCTTGATTTCCCCGGGTCCAGACACCCTGACCGCGCCCGCCCGGCCCCACTGAAGTGCGCTCCCGACCCTCTCCCCAGGACCCCGCGCTTACAGACCCCCACCCTCCGACCTCTGCTTCGGTGGAGACCCCACCGCGGTGACTCCTCCGCTGGGCTCGGCTGACGGGTCCCCCCCCCCCAGGCACAGGCGAGACGCCCACGCTCAGCACCCTGGACTTCTACATGGCGCGGCTGCACGGTGCCATAGAGCGCGACCCCGCGCAGCACGAGAAGCTCATCGTCCGCATCAAGGAGATCCTGGCCCAGGTCGCCAGGTGTGTGCCCCAGCCGGTCTGCCCCCAGGCCCGTTCAGCCCAGCTGGGGCTGCCTTGCGTAGGGGCTGCCTCAGGCTAGACCTTCGCTGGCGGGACCCGGCGAAATAGACTAGCTTTAGGCCTCCAGCGGGGTTTCTGGGGTCTGTGGGCGCTGCCCAGTGGGATCTGGCTGCCGGCTCTTTTTCGGAGGGCACAGCCCATGCGGGATCTATTAGGTGGGGCTGGTTTGATGCAGGTGGCTAATGGCCTAGCCCCTGGGGCGATGATTCGGCCTGGTACTCTATTACGACTCTGGTGAATCATCCACCACTCCCTTGGCCCAGGGGACCCGAGCTTCCCCAAAGCTTCGGGGTGGGTTTTTCTGGGTGCCTCCCAGCTGCCCAGGATAGGTGGGATCAACTCCAGGCTCCCCACCCTGGCATCTGAAGGAGCAGAGAAGGATGGCCTCTAGGGTACCCAGGAAGGGGGTGGGGTTGAGAGGTGATGGGGGTCCCCCCTCACAGATCTCCTCCCTTCTGTCACAGTGAGCATCTATGAGGGTGTCTGCTGCCCCATGATCCAGAGAAGACCAAGCCCTGGTCACGGCCCCTCCCCCACCCCCACCCCATGGAGGAGGGGTGTGGGTCCATCCTTTGGGGCCAGGCCCAGTCCTGCACCTTGGGGGCTCCAGCCCCCCAAAATTAAATTTCTACAGCATCCCTCTAGCTATCAGTCTCCCCAGCACCCCAACCCAGAAAAATCGCCCACCACGCACAGTGCACAGAACCCCATGGCCCCAGGGCCCACCACAGGGCACGTCACACTACACGGATGTGGGAACAGCACACATGGACAGCGTGACCCGGGACAGGAGGAGACCCGCAGCCGCTCATCCGCCCAGTGTGGGGAGAGTTACACACCCTACACCGGCTCTCCAGGACCAGTCCCTGGACACAGGGCAGAGAAAACCCACACCTGACAGACTGGGACTCCTGCCTGGCAGGTGCCACCCTAAGTGCCCACACGGCCAGGCACGCCGCAGGGACACACTCTCACACTCCGGGCGGGGCCCTCTACCCCAGAATGGGGGGGCTGGTACTGACCACCCTACCCTCATCCAGCTGAGGGACCCCCGTGGAGGGGGCCCCTTTGCCACTGCTCAATTGGACTTTTTAAATAAAAATGGAATTTGAATTTCAAGCTTGTGCCTGTGTGTCTTTTGGAGGGAAACAGGCCAGGACCCTCTATTGGGGTCCTAAGCCTACTCTCCCCAGCCCCTGGCAACCAGAAATCCACTTTTTTTTTTTTTTTTTTTGGGCCACACCACGTGGCATGTGGGATCTTAGTTCCCCGACCAGGGGTGGAACCCATGTCCCCTGCATTGGAAGCCCGGAGCCTTAACCACTAGACCACTAGGGAAGTCCCACAAATCCACTTTCTGTCTCTGGATCTACCTGTTCTGGACATTTCATATAAATGGAATCACATGCTGCGTGTCCTTTTGTGTCTGGATTCTCTCACTGAGCGTCGTGTTCTCAAAGTTCATCCACATTGTAGCGAGTGTCAGGGCTTCATTCCTTCTTCTGGCTGAATAATATTCCACTGTGTGGATGGCCCACATTTTGTTTATCCAGCATCTGTTGATGGCCCTTCGGGTTGTTCCCACCTTTTGGTGGTTGTGAATCGTACTGCTGAGAACATGCGTGTACAGGTTTTTGTTTGAACACCTGCCCTCACTTCTGGGTCGATCCTGAGAAGCAGACATGCTGGGTCAGATGGCAATTCTATGCTTAACTTACTGGGGAACCCTCTCAGAGACTTAAGCCTTTAATGGAATGTTTGGGGCAGCTTAAAAATTCTGGGGAGTAATTTGACAAGCACTGATGTTACCGGTTGAATTTGGTCCCCTCCAAAGAAAATCTTGAAGCCCTAACCCCCAGAACCTCAAAATGTGACCGTATTTGGCAATAGGGTCACTGCAGATATGATTAGTTAAGATGAGGTCATGGAGTGGGGCAGCCTCTAATCCAATACGACTGATGTCCTTATAAGAAGATAAAGATTTGGACACAGCTGCAGAGAGGAGACAGCCATGTGACAACGGAGGCAGACACAGGCAAAGCACGCCTCCAAGGAATGCCAAGGATGACCAGCCACCAACAGAAGCCAGGAGGGGCAGGAAGGATGCCACCCAGGGTGTCAGAGGAGCTTGGTCTTGCTGATTTCTAGCCTTCAGAACTGTGAGAGAGTAAATTTCTGTTGTTCATGGGCCAGCCAGTTGGTGGTACTTTGTTACGGTTGTCCCAGGAGACTCGAAAAACGATACTCTCACACACCCACGTCCAAGTGTGTGCTCCCTCCTCTCACGCCCTCCCTGGCTCCGTATCCTCATCCCAAATTTGGAGTTTACCATTCCTGGGCAGTCTTTACCTACTTTTAGCACAAAAGGATGTCTTCCCACAAGAGTACCATCCTGATGGATTTTTTTTTTTGGTTCGTTTCTAAAGGTTCGAAAGTAGACGACTCTGTGGCTTCTAGTTTAATCACAAAGTTGTGCGACCACCAGCCCAACTTAATTCCAGAACATTTTCATCACCCCCAAAACAAACCCCCCTCCCATTAGCCATCACTCCCCATCCTCCCCTCCCCCAGCCCCAGGCAACCACGAATCCACTTTCTGTCTCCATGGATCTGCCTGTTCTGGACACTTCATCTAAACGGCATCACACGCTACGTGGCCTTTGTAATCTGGCTTCTTTCAATGAGCATCGTGTTTCCAAGGTTCATCTGTGCTATAGCATGTATCCCATTTTGCACGTTTTTAAACTTTACATAAATTTTCTTACATCGTCCGAAGCCTTCTGCAACTTGCCTGTTTTCATCAATGGTTGGTTTCTGAGATTCATCCAAGGCGAAAGGCCTCTCTTTGGAGCTGCTATATGGCATTCCACTGCTGTTTACTGAGCCAACCATCGTTCCTGTCGGTGATGCCTAGATGCTGTGTTCCCAGGGGATTCTGAGAGACGCCTCCTGGTGCCCAGAACTTCCTTCTAATTTATCTGTAACCCAGTGTGCCCACTGTGTGCCAGGATACAGCAGGGGATGAAAGAGACCAGAACTCCTGCCCTCCTGAAACTGACATTCCAGTTGAGGAGACAGAGGAAACACAAGATGAATAAATAAACTATCTGCTATGTCAGGTCATGCTCAGTGCTAGGGAGGAAAAAAGCCAGAAAGAGAGATTGGGAGGTGGTGATAGGAGGTGACAGCTGAGCCAAGAGCCGAAGGAGGTGAGGGAGTGAACCACTTGGAGGTCTGGGAGAAGATGTTCCAAGTGTAGGGGCACAGTCTGTGCAAAGGCTCTGGGGCAGGATAGTGCCTGGTGTGTTGAATGAACAGCAAGGAGGTCCATGTGTCTGGAGCAGAGTGAGCAAGGGGGAGAGAGGGAGGAGGGGAGGGCAGGGAGGGGACGGGGCAGGTTGTGCAGGGCCTTGTGAGCAGAGGGGAGGACTTGAGTTTTTACCCCGAGGGAGGTGGGAGCCCTGGAGGGCTGTGGGCAGAGGATGAACAGGTTGTGGCTCAGTTTATACCAGGGTAAGCGTCCTCCCCACCTCTTATGGTTGTTGCAAGGATTAAATGAGTGCGCCCAGCAGAGAGCAAGCGCCCGGGCACCCACGGCTGCCCCATCCTTATTTGTGATCCTTATTTTTCCCGCTCCCCGGAGAGTTCACAGCTGGCCCTGGCAAGGCCGGCACACCTGGGGCCAGCCCCCCCGCCCCCCTGCCCTCCCCCCACACACCCCCGCACTCCGCGGTGTCGCCTTCCCGGGAGGCTCGGGTTCCCGGATCCCCTTACCCCGACGGCTCGGCTGTCGCTCCTTGGGCCGGGGGAGGGGAGGCTGCAGGAAGCGGCGGATCCGGCGGCTGTGGCCGTGGCCCCGGTGGCCGAGCTCCTCCTGCCATGGAGACCACAGCGGCCCGCGAGGCCCGGGGGGCCGAGGCCCCACGCCTGCCCGCGCCCCCGCCCTCGCCCGCCGAGCCCCCAGCCGCGTCCCCCAGCCCGGCCGCGCCCCGAGCCCGCCCGCGCCTCATCTTCCGCACGCAGCTGGCTCACGGCAGCCCCACGGGCAAGATCGAGGGCTTCACCAACGTCCGCGAGCTTTACGCCAAGATCGCCGAGGCCTTCGGGATCGCGCCCACCGAGGTGAGGCCCCCGGACCCCCAGCACCCGAGGCCCACCGGCTGACCGGGGGTAGGGGTGGACCCTGGACGCCGGGACTGGGGCCCCAGAACGCCCATCTTCGGATGGAGGGGACCCGATCTCCGGATCTCAGAGACGCACCTCTCAGATCCTGGGGTGTCCGTACCCGGTGGACCCCCTGCGCAAAACATGCGCACGTCTTAGGGTTAACGGATGCCTAGTTCGTCCAGGAAAACACTGGGCTGACCCAGCTAGGAGTGGACCCCAGCTCTCAGGGAAGCGCCTATGTTTCCTGGGCGCGGCTGCGGGGCTGTGGTTCCAGGCAGCCCCCTTTCAGGTGAGAAGTCCGAGGCCGCGGGGGATCAGGGGCTGGGTTGTAGGTGCGCCTCGAAGCCCCGAGGGGGCGCCAGCAGATTTAGAACAGTTTTAAAAGATCGGGGGTGACAGGGCAATGAAGGGGTTAAAAGGGGAAGTCTGGGGGGGGTGGGAGAGGGGGCGTCCTCCTACCCTAAGTCTCCTTCTCACCCTGCTCCCCATTCTGGGGGTCCCAGTCTCCTCGCCTCCCACCCCATTCTGAGAGGATCCCATACTCTGCCATTACACGTGACTGCGATCCTGGTAGGGGATGACTGGGGTCAGTTTCGTGCCTCTTTGCGCCTCGGTTTCCCTCTCAGGCCCCTGAGCCCAACCCCCGGTTGTTCTGCGCAGACGGTGGGGGATGAATGAGGTCTGTCATTAATTTTGGGCTCCCCCTCCCCTCGGGACAGATCTTATTCTGCACCCTAAACAGCCACAAAGTGGACATGCAGAAACTCCTAGGCGGCCAGATAGGGTTGGAGGACTTTATCTTTGCCCACGTGCGCGGCGAGACCAAAGAGGTGGAGGTCACTAAGACCGAGGACGCCCTGGGACTGACCATCACTGACAACGGGGCTGGCTATGCCTTCATCAAGGTGCCCGTGGGGGCGGGTGGCTTCCCGGGTGCCCCTCTCTGCCCCTCTCTGGTGTGAACAGGACCTGAGAGGGGCCGCTGGGGTGGCCCTGTGAGTGACTCTGGGTCCCTGCAGAGGATCAAGGAAGGCAGCATCATCAACCGGATCGAGGCAGTGTGCGTGGGCGACAGCATTGAGGCCATCAACGACCACTCAATCGTTGGCTGCCGCCACTACGAGGTGGCCAAGATGCTCCGGGAGCTGCCCAAGTCGCAGCCTTTCACCCTGCGCCTGGTTCAGCCCAAGAGAGCTTTCGGTGAGGGCCACCTGGGGCCCAGGGGGCAGGCTGGTGGGGGGCGGCGGGGAAGCTCTTCCAGAAATTGGTCCTCTGCATGCACCGGGTGGCAAAGGGTGGGGGGATGGGACAGGATGGAAGGTTCTAGATCCCTCTGGTGACAGGACAGGGAGCTTCTGGCACTGTATGAGGAACAGGAGGGTCATTTCTAGATGGTTATAGAGTTGGTCTGGGCATGGGGGTCGGGGGAGTCTTGGGAAGGTTGGGAAAGGATGAGGAGGTATCTGGATCTATTTTGTAGCTGGTCTGGGAGCTTTTAAAGTACTGCTATGAGGCTCTGGTGAGTTCTTGAGAGTGACTCTCAAAGGGAGCTCTAGAATGGAGCTTTTCAAAGAGAAGTCTGTGACTGGTCCATGGATGAGATAAGGAGGTCCCGGTCGAAGAAGGATTCTTTACCTCAGCACTATTCACATCTGGGGCTGGATGACTGTTGTGGGGCGGTCTTGGGCACTGTCAGGTTCGACCTAACAGGTGCCAGTGTCTCCCCTGAGTTGTAACAATCAAAAGCGTCTCTAGGTATTGTCAATGACACGGGGGGGGGGGGGCAAAATCACCCTCCCCCCCCCCCCCGCCCCCCGTGCCAGCTGGGTTGAGAACCTTGATCTAGAATGTAGATCACCTTGTTTAGTTCAGCAGACAATTGTTTTCCATAAGCAGACTTTCTCAAGGAAGGAAGCAGGATGCTAATTTCCTTTCTGGCACAGGCTTCTTATCTCATCATGGACTGGCCCTTTGAGTCACCCTGTCCCAGAACAAGAGGTTCTAAAGGTGCCCTGGCCCATCTGGAGGGAGGTCCCAGGAGAGTGCGACAGGATGGGGTCCTAGATCTGCCCTGGAGCAGGACAGTGAACTCTGAGAGCCGTGAGCAGGTTAGGAAGAGCCAATTCTAGAGCAAGGAGCTTTCTAGATTGATCCTCTGGGCACAAGGAGAATCTTAAGCAGTCTCTTCTAGAGAAAGTCACTTTGAGAGGAGGAGGGAAATTTGAGGGAAGAAAGGATTCTCAAGCATGGTCCCTGAGGATTCACCCATGGACATAAGGAGGATTTTGAAGGGTAGGAAGGTTCTAGAAAGGCTCAGCTGGTGGCTTCTGAGTGTTTAGGAAGATATGGATCTGCCCAGAACACATGCACCTCCTCCACTCTGTCCCCTCCAGATATGATCGGCCAGAGAAGCCGGAGCAGCAAATGCCCCACGGAGGCAAAAGTCAGCAGTGGGAGGGAGACCCTGCGGCTTCGGTCTGGGGGGGCCGCCACTGTGGAGGAAGTGGTGAGTGGAGGGGAGAAGGGTGGACATCAGGGTCTCTTGCACCTAGAGCTCTATCGCTGACTCAGCATGACCTTGGGTAAGACCCTCTCCTTTGCCCAGCCTCAGTTTCCCTACCTGCAAAGTGGGCCCTTGTCAGTCAGGGCAGTAATGGTGGGACCAGAAGCATTGACTAATGTGTGGTCCCAGTCTGCTGTCACCTAAGGGGTGGGGGACTGGGGAGGGGGCTGGGCCGGAGTGATCCCAGGCTTCTGACCCTCTGCTTTGCTCCCTACGACCCCAGCCTAGTGAATTTGAGGAGGAGGCATCTCGGAGGGTGGATGACCTGCTGGAGAGCTACATGGGCATTCGGGACCCAGAGCTGGGTAAGGGGCCAGGGTAAGCCGGGTGGACCCTGGGGGGAGGACAGCCCATGGGGAGGAGGCAAGGGTCCCAGGGGAAGCTGGCGTCCCCCCAGGGAGCGCCCTCACCCACTTCCCCTCGGCTCGGCCTGCAGCGTCCACCATGGTGGAGACATCCAAGAAGACAGTGAGTGTCCAGGAGTTTGCACGCCATTTAGACTCCGTTTTGGGCGAGTTCGCCTTCCCGGACGAGTTTGTGGTGGAGGTGTGGGCCGCCATCGGCGAGGCCAGGGAGGCCTGTGGCTAGTCTGCCCCGGGGCCGAGCGCAGCCCCAGCCCGGAGCCCAGCCCCATGTCCCAGCCCTCCCGGCCAGTTCCCCAAGCCCAGCCCTGCTCTGGAGTCCAGAAGCCCAGATCTGAGACCCAGCCCTGCTCTAGAGCCCAGCCCAGCTCAGAGACCAAGCCCAGATCTGAGACTGGTATCACCTCTAGAACCCACACCAGTTTTGAGACTGAGCCCAGCCCCGAGACTCGGCCATGCTCTAGAACCCAGCTCAGCTCGGAGACCAAGCGCAGCCCTGAGACCACGTTCACCTCTAGAACCCATACCAGTTTTGAGACCAAGCCCAGCTCTGAGACCAAGCCCTGCTCTAGAACCCAGCCCAGCTCAGAGACCAAGCCCAGATCTGAGACCCAGCCCTCCCCTAGAACCCAGCTCAGCTCGGAGACCAAGCTCCCCTCTAGAGGCAAGGCCAGCTCTGAGATCACGTTCACCTCTAGAACCCATACCAGTTTTGAGACCAAGCCCAGCTCTGAGACCAAGCCCTGCTCTGGAACCCAGGCCAGCTCTGAGACCCAATTCATCACTAGAACCCAAGCCAGTTCTGAGATGCAACCCAGCTCCAGAACCCAGCTCTCCTCTAGAACCCAGGACAGCTCTGAGGCTAAGCTGAGCTCTGATATAAAGTCAAGTTTGGGAACCCAGACAAGTTTTATGAGCCACCCCGGCTCTGAAATCAATCCTAGTTCTGAAAGTCAGGCCAGCTTTATGACCCAGCCCTGCCTTAAAACTCGACCCAACTCTGGAACGCAAGACAGTTCCATGACCCAGTTGTACCTGGACACCTGGTCTAGCTCAGAAACACCAGTTAGTTCTGGAACCCAGGTGAGACTCAAGAAGCAGCCCAGTTCCAGAAGCCACGTCAGCTCAGGATTCAAAGACAGTTCCGAAACGCAACCCTATTCTCATGCCCAGACCAGCTCAGGAACCCAGATGCACGCTGCAGAGCAGTCCAGGCCCAGACCCCACCCCCATACTAGGGCCCAGCCCAGCTCCAACGATGAGTCCAGCTCAGAGATTGAGCCCAGCTCTATACACCAGACTAGCGCAACAAGCAGGCCTGTCTCCAGAATTCAGACAAGCTCTGGACCCCCATCCATCTCTGGGGCAAGGCCCGCCTCCAGAGCTCCACTTGATGCCAAGACCCACCCTCACTGCAGAACACAGAGCAGCTCTAGAACATCATCCAGCTCTGGGACCCAGACAGACTTCAAGGCTTGGCCAACTTCCAGAGTTCAGTCCAGCTCAGGCACTCCACCCAGCTCCAGAACTCAGCTCAGTTCTAGAGCGCAGGCCAGCTCTGAAATCCCATCGAGCTCTAAAACACAGTCAATTGCTGAGACCTACTTGAATTCCAGAGTCCAGCTAAAGTCTGGGCCTGGGACCCAGACCAATGCAGCAACAGACTTAAGCTCCACAGCTCTGTCGAGCTCTGAGAGCAGGCCCAGCTCCAGGACCCAGCCCTGCCTGGGAACTCAAAGCACCTCTGGGACCCAGCTCGTCTCAGAAACCCTGCAAAGCTCTCGAAACCAACTCCAGACCACACCCCCAGGCAGCTCTGCTATTGAGCCGGACTTTGGGAGACAGACCAGCTCTGGAAGTCCGCTCATCTCTACAGCCCAGCCCAGCTCTGGGACCCAGACCAGTTCAAGAATACAGCCCAGTTCTGGAACCCAACCCAGCTCCGGAACGCAGACCAGTGCTGGAACCCAGCTCATCTCTGAGACCCAGCCCAGTGCAAGAATGCAGCCCCTCTCTGGAGTCCACCTCATTTCTGGAACCGAAACCAGCTCCAGAACACAGACCAGTTCTGGAACCCAGCTCAACTCTGAGACCCAGCCCAGCTCTGGGACCCAGCCCAGTGCAAGAATTCAGCCCAGCTCTGGAGCCCAGCTCAGCTCCAGAACCCAGTTCAGCTCTAGAATTCAGTTCAGAGCTGAGACTCACCACAGCCCTGAAACCCAGACCAGTTCAAGAACCCAGCCCAGCTCTGGAATCCACCTTACTTCCAGAACCGAATCTGTTTCTGAAACGCAATCCGGCTCCAGAAGCCAGACCAGCTCAAGAATACAGCTCAGCTCTAGAAATGGGCTCCGCCCACCAACCCCTGGCCTTGACCCCAGAACCCAGGCTGATGCCACTGCCCCAGCCCGACCTCAACACCCAGGCCCATCACTCAGAGCCCCACCTACAGGTCCTAGGAGGGTCTCTCACCCTCAGTCCCATGATCGGGTTCAAGGAGCCCAGGCCGATACTGGCCCAGGCCGAAGCCCATCCACTTCTGCCCTGTTCCCACGGCCGTGGTCCCCCTCCGTCCCGCAGAAACCAGCCCTTCCCCCCAAGCCCCAGCTGAGACCCCAGAAGTCCACCCCACCCACCAAATCTGTCATCCCTAGTTCTGCCACCAGGGCGGCCCTCCTGCATTCCCAGCCCCCTGAACCCTCAGCTCAGGGGCCTGCCCCCTCCCCCGAGCTCAGGGAGCCAGGGCCAGCTCCGCCGGCGTCAGAGCCCCTCCCCTACCATGGGGGGCTATAGCTTGGGGGTGACGTACTTGTGGCCCCCATCCCCTCTCCTGCCCCTCCCAGCCTGGGTCCCTCAGAAGCAGCAGGTGACCTCATTCCCCCACAGGCGGGGTGGGGGGTGGTGAGGGAGGGTGGACACAGGGGCTTTGGTTTCACCCGGGCCTGGCTCTGGGAGCTGTAAGCAGATCCCAGGTCTGTGGAGGGGAGGCGGGGTGAGGCGGCGGGGGGGGGGGAAGTTGGGACAGGAGGCGGTTTCCCCCTCACGTACCTCGAGGGCTCATGGGGAATAAAGGCACCTCCCACCCCTGCAGCTCTGTGTGTCGTTTTTGGGGGGTGTTTGGGGGAGAGCAGAGGAAGGGGCAGGCGTGAGGGTCTGGGGAGCTGACATGACAGCACTAGATGCTTCTTACGTGGCTACGATGTGCCAGGCACATTGTTAAGTGCTAAGCGTGCAGGTCCTCATGGACCTGCAGACACACGGTGCTCTAGACAAACTCACTCGTTCGGCCATTCTGTCTGCCTTTACTGAGCACCTACTATGGGCCAGGAGCTGCTTGTTCAAGGCATGGGGAGTCTGAAGGGCTGAGTGAATAGATGGCTAAACCACAAGCTTATGAGGGAGTGCATCCCATCTGCCGTGGAGGAAGCAGGCGTGTACGCCATGGTCCCTGTGTGTCTTGCCCTCTCTTTTCCTCACCTGCAAAATGGGCTTAATCCCAGAACCCTCCCTTAGGGGCTGTAGGGAGGCTTCCAGGAGATCCAAGCTGTAAAGTGCTTAGGGAAGACTCAATAAAGGAAGTGGGGAGAGGAGCTGGAAGCCAGCCCAACCTCTTGGGGCTTCCACAGCCCCCCAGTCCTGCTCGGCTGCCACACGGTTGGATAGGAATATTGATACAAGAAACTTCAATAATTGACGATTTCAGAGCCAAAAGAGATTATATTTTGGCAAGAGAGGGAGTCTCTTGCCCGTTCTCATTCAACCTTTTCTAGACAGAGCCTTCTCAAATTGGGCTGTCAAAGGCAATCAACTGTACCCCAGTAAGCAGGTCATATTCAGGGGTCAGAGTCCCCCATTTCTGGAGGATTTCTGCAAGGGGAGGCTTACAAGTCTGCTTTCCTCCAGACACCATCCCAGCATTGCCCACACCCTTCCTGGGATTGGGAGGTGCCTCTGAGTGGGGAGGGGCGGAGAGAGGGGAGGGGCTTTGGAAAGGGGAGTCAGGGAAGAGTTGGAGGGTCCCCAGGGATGATGGAAGACAGCACACAATCCTGCCACTCAAACTGTCCATCCTGCACTCCTGGCTCCTGGACTTCCGAACAGGCAGATGCGACTGACAGGGAGGACAAAGTTTAGATGGGGGACATGCTGGCAGGGTGCTCTGTCCTTCCAGAGCTGCCCCCGACGTCCAGCCCTGGCCCTACTGCATCGTGGACCTGCGGGTGAGCTGGGGTTGCAGGGAGAGAGACCTGGGCCGGGTACTGAGGCGAGGGTGGAGGCGCCGGATCACCGCCCGGCGAAACAGGATGTACACCCAGGGGTCGAGGATCTGGTTCCAGGTGGCCACGCGCAGGTAGATAAGCAGCTGCTTCTCGGTGGCTCGGGACAGCTGCCCAGTCGGGCTCATGGCAGGCGGGCTCCGCAGCACCGTCTGGGCGATGAAGACCTGCGGGGGGAGGAGTGTGTGTGCGTGTGGCCAGAGCGGTCAGCCGGGGGCCAGGCCGGCCACCAGCCCTGCCCTCCACCAGTACCTGCCCGGGCCACCTGCCATCCACCGAGACCCCGTGCTGATTTTGTCCCCGAGGTGCTGTGTGACCCCGGGAGAGCTGCCTGACCTCTCTGAGCTTCAGCTGATGTGGCCGAAAAATAGCACACTTTTCCTGCTCCTCTCCTGGGCACAATTAAACGTGGTGGACAAGAGGACTTGCAGGTGCGAGCAGGTGGAATCACTGTGACTGCCAGTTTTATTATTCTATCAAACATTTATATTTTATACAAATTTCATAATATAATATCAAATTATGGTATAAAATTGTATATTAAATAATTAAATTTTATGTTGTTTATTTTAAGTCAGTTTATATTATATTAAAATTTATAGTTTATAAAATTTTATGTTAAATAATTTTTGTTAAATTCTTATATTAAATCACTTTAATATATTTTATTAAATATTGGATTTTATATTTAATATTATACTATATAATGTAATAAGGTATTTACAGATTATCATAGAATATAATTAGTTACCTAATAATTAATATATTGTTAATTATAACTATTATATATAGTTATGTTATATATATTATATAGTATTTAAAGTTATATATGTAATTATATAATATATAACATAATTATAAGGATGTGACTATATATTACATAATGATTGATATAATTATTAAGTATTAATTAATAATATGTAATTATAGCTATATGTTATATCGTATTTAACAATTACATAATATATATTATATAATGATTGATATATTATTAAGTATGAATGAATAATATATAACTACAGTTATATGTTATATAGTATTTAACAGTTATATAATATATAACTATATATTATATGATTGATATAATTGTTAAATATTAAGTAATAATATGTAATTATAGTTATATGTTATACAGTATTTAAAAATTATATAATGATTGATATAATTATTAATTCTAATCTAATCTAATTAATTATAATTATTATATTTCATAATTATAATCAAATTTATACTATAGTTAATATAATTATATTCATATTGTATTGCATGTATTATACTAAAAGAAATTTTTTCTTTTTTTTTTGGCTGCACCATACAGCTTGCAGGATCTTAGTTCCCTGACCAGGGATTGAACCTGTGCCCTCAGCAGTGTAAGTGCAGAGTCCTAACCACTGGACCGCTAGGAAATTCCCCCACAATTATTATTTTAAAATTGTTTCCTGAGCACCTAGTATGCTGGGCAATTCTGGGGACACTGCAGTAGCCAAGACAGACCCAGGTCCCACTTGCACAGGTTCACAGGCTCACAGCCCCATTAGGACATGTGACCAGGTGGTTGCAGCTTGGCGGTGGGAGTGGGGGTGACCTAGCAGTGATGGAGGCACTGTTGGAGCCCAGAGTAGGGGCCTGACCGGGCTTGGGAGAGGTAACCAGATGGCGAATAGGAGTTTCCCAGGTGAGTTTGAAGGAAGTGTCTGTGGGCCTTTCTTCTGGGACAATAGGGAGCTATGGGAGGTTTTAGAGCAGGAGTTGCCTCACGGGCCAAATCTGGCCTGCCACCTGTTTTTGTTTTGCTTTGTTTGCTTTATTTTTGCCTTTTTGGTTTGTTGTTTTGCTAAGAATGTTTTTACATGTGTCAATGGTGAGAGAAAAAAATTAGAAAGCATATTTTGGGGGTTTTTTAATTAAAAAAAATTTTTTTTTTTATTTTTTATTTTTTGGCCATGTCACGCAGCATGCTCAACTAGGGATCGAACCCACACCCCCTGCAGTGGAAGCACGGAGTCTTAACCACTGGGCCACCAGGGTAGAGGCCTAGAAAGCATATTTTGTGACGTGACAATGACATGAAATTCAAATTTCAGAGTCCGTAAATGAAGTCCTATTGGTGCACAGCCACGCCTGTTTGTTTCCATGTAGCTTTCATGCCACAGCAGCAGAGCTGCGTCGTTGTCACAGAGACTGTGTTTAAAGGGTTTACTATATGGCCTTTTAGGGAAAACTTTGCTGCCCAAGGGGACCAGGAATCGTTTAATGATTCAGTGATTCTACCTAGGATGCCTTCCTGGTTTTTACCTAACAGTTCAACTTCTATTTATCCTACAAAGCCTCAGTTCCAATGGCTCAGAGCAGGGCGGGGCTCATCCTGGCTATTTCAAGAGAGTCAAGGCTGGAGGGCAGGGAGAAAGAAGAGGCTGAGACAGATCCTTGTCAGGGACCTCTTGGTGAAGGTGACATTTGAGGCAAGACATGGAGGAGTGAGGGAGTGATCCATGTCGAGATCTGGGGTGGGGGAAAGCATTCCAGGCAGAGGGTACAGCCCAGTGCAAAGGTCCTGGGGCAGGACCGGGCCTGGCATGTTGGAGGAACAGCCAGGAGGTCCATGTGTCTGGAGCAGAGTGAGCGAGGGGGAGAGAGGGAGGAGGGGAGGGCAGGGAGGGGACGGGGCAGGTCGTGCAGGGCCTTGTGGGTGGCAGGGAGGACTTGGGCTTTTACCCTGAGGGAGGTGGGAGCCCTGGAGGGCTGTGGGCAGAGGGGGGACCTGACTCAGGTGCTCACAGGCACCGTCTAGATGCTGCTCGATAAATAGTAATGATAATAATTACAAGTGAATATAGAAATGGCCTCAGCTCGACACAGATGTAGAGAATAAACGTATGGACACCAAGTGGGTAAAGTGGCGGGGTGGGGCGGTGGTGGTGGGATGAATTGGGAGATTGGGATTGACATACATACACTAATATGTATAAAATAGATAACTAATAAGAACCTGCTGTATAAAATAAATAAAATAAAATACAAAAAAAGAAATGGCCTCAGCTCTATGAGACCAGGCCTGGGAGGGACACCCCAGGTACAGAACAGAAGCACATTTCTCAGCTGGAAGCATCATCCTGTAACTGCCACTCCCCTGGGACCCATCAGTGCCTGCAGCTTCACGTATCACAAAAAAAATTATGTTCCTTTCTTTTTTTTCTCCCACCATTGACACACGTAAAAACATTCTTAGCAAAACAAAGCAAACCAAATTTGCAATCTTCCTATCCCACAGGTTTAGCTTTTGTTTTAGCCCTTATCACCTCCTAATATCTACCACTTCACTTATTTATATACTATGTTTATTTCCTGTCTTCCCAACGACCTGAGTTCCAGGAAGTCAGGCAGTTTTGTCAGCTTTGTTCCCTGTGCAGTGCCTAGACCAGAGCCAGCAACACACTCATAGCTCAGTGAATGTTTGTTGAAGGAACCAATGAACAAATGAGTTCATGTCATCATCCTGACAGTCACTCTGAGAGGCTGGCACCTTTTTAGTCATCCCCATAATAGGGGGAGATTGAGGCTGGAGGAGATTGAGGCTGGAGATTGACCCGTAGCCAGAGTCACATGATAAGTCCTTGTTGGATGTGGGCTGGAAACCAAGTATCTGATTCCAGTCTCCAGACTTGTCGCCATACAGTCAGAAATGGAAAAATAACCACTCCAAGTGGCCAATTACATCAATCAGTGGAAGGACTTCAGCAAGCTCCCCTGACTCAGGGAAGATCTGTGCAAGGCTAGGGTCCAGCCCAGAACTAGGCACAAAGTAGAAATGATTCAGTAATTGTACCTGGAATGTCCTCCCTGCTTTTCTCTGGCAGGTAAACTCCTCTTCATCCTTCAAAACCCCAGCTCCAATGTCCCTCTTCCAGAAAGCCTTCCCTGATATCCCAGGGAGAGCCTGGGAGCCCTTCCCTGGGCATCTCAGTCCCAGGACACTGCCTCTGCCCCAGTCCTGCCCCCAGTTTGGGATTATCTGTGTCTTGCTCATGGGTTCCTCAAGGAAGGACCCTTGAACACTGGGGTCATGCCCACATTTTCTTGGGCGGACGAGAACCTGAGGGTTATGAATTCATTCGGGAGGAACCGAGGCCCGGTCCCCAAGGGTGGGTGGGAGACCCCGGCAGCCCCTGCCCCCGCCACTCACCAGCAGCGGCATCCAGCAGATGCTGGCCACCACCATGATGCCCGTGAGCTGAGCCATCATCTCGACCTCGCAGTCCCGTGGGCGCTGCTGGGCGGCCTCCTGCCCGTGGTAGACGTGGCACAGGGTGGCCACGCTGATCGTGTTGAGCAGGAAGGACAGCCCCACCGAGAGGCTGCCAAGGAGGGTGAAGAGCAAACCGAAGGCCACATCCCCTGGCTCGGCACCGAGTGTGAGGAAGCACCAGGAGCCCGGGTACTGCACGGTGTAGCGACCCACACCCAGCAGGGGCAGCAGGCCCAGCGCCAGCGCGGCGGCCCACACCAGCCCCACCGTGGTCCAGGCCCGGCGCTGCGAGGAGGCTGCGGGCCTTGAGAAGGGCCGGGTGATGCCCAGGTAGCGCTCCGAGGCCATGGCGGCCCCCAGCAGCAGCGGGCACAGGCCAAAAAAGACCATGATGACGCCCATGAAGTGGCAGAGGCTGCAACCGGGGTCCACGGCCTGCCAGTCAAAGAGGGCGGCGTGCTGGGACACCACGATGGTGCCAGTGACCAGCAGCCCCATGAAGTCAGTGATGACCAGGCCGCAGAGGAAGGTCAGGAAGGAGGATCGCGCATGGGAGCTGCCCTGCCGCGCACTCACCAGCACACTCAACGCCAGCAGGTTGGAGGCCAGGCCCACCAGGCAGAAGGAGGCCGCGAACCAGGGGGAGGCGATCAGGCGCCGTTCCTCCAGCGTGATGTTTGTTGGCCGCAAACAGGGCCCCAGAGAACTGCCATTGGGCCACATGGCGCCAGAGCGGAGTGGGGAGGGTCACCACCCCATCAGGCCAAGGCTGCAGGTGGGGTGGACTGGCACTGGCTCAGGCACACCTGGGGAGGGTGGTGGCGGAAGAGAAGATTTGCTGGTGATTCATTCTGCATTTTAGTCTGAGCAGCCCTGGTGAACTCCTACACAACCTTCAATGCCCTAGCTCAAATATCCCCTCCTATAGGAAGCCTTTCCTGACCTATCTCACTCCCTACTCAGTAAGTATTACTATTACTACTATGACTAGCTCCAGCCCTGTCCTGCCCAGGCTCAGTGACCCTCAAGGGTGAGGATCAGTTCTGTCTCCTCTGGGAACCCTGAAAGACACCAGTTAGTATTTGCCAGGTCTCAGAGAAGGGCTGAGAAGCCCCAGTTTGAACTCCAGCCCTCGTACCCACTGTGTGACCCCAGGCAAATGATTTCTTCTCTCTAAACTTCCATTTCCCTGCTGGTCATCCATCTGAGCCCTTGGTGGACTGCAGAATCCAGAACAGATTTCAGCTACTGTAAAACAGGACACACCCAGTGTGGGGAGGGCAGCTGGCTGGTGGCCAGAGGTCGCTGGTTCTCGAGCAGGCTCCAAGGTCAGCCTTGTGGGTCACAATTTCTCGTGAAATTGTGGGAGAAACCCGGCCCCATTGGTGTTTTAGGGAGAGCCTTCCTCACATGTTGGAATCGTGTAGATTCTTTTTTTCCCCCGTTTTTGTTTAATAAGAAATAAACCCAGAAATCCAGTTCCATCTGGGAGCAAAACTCAGGTCATCTGGAGCAGCAGGATCCCTAGGGACGGGCTATAAACAATAGGAGGAGGGTAATGGGCTATAAACTACCCTGTGTGGGGCTGGGGGAGAAAATTGGAGAGACATATGGGTCTGACTGCCTCGGGTGTGGACGAATCAGCCAGATATGGGGACGTCGAGTAGAAATAAAATGAGACCATTCAAAAGCCAGCTTCCAGGGGCTTCCCTGGTAGTCCAGTGGGTAAGACTCCGTGCTCCCAATGCAGGGGTCCTGGGTTCAATCCCTGGTCGGGGAACTAGATCCCACATGCATGACGCAACTGAAGAGTTACATGCCGCAACTAAGAGTCCACATACCACAACTAAGAAGTCTGCATGCTGCAACTAAGAAGTCCGCATGCCGCAACTATTCCCCAAAAGGACACAGCAGGGAGGGCGTAAGGTCACCCAGGGGGCCGGCACCCCACCCTGGGCGCACACCATGAGCCATCCTTGTGCTGGCAGGGAGGGGGCACTGGGTGGCAGGATCAGAGTGGGTAAAGGTGGGGAGGCAGGACCATGGGAGGCACAGATGGCCCAGGCAGTTAAAGCTCAGAAAGGTCCTCTTATGAGCCCCATTTTGCAAAGGCAGGGAACCTGAGGCACAGAGAGGTTAAATAACTAATCCAAAGTCACACAGCCTAGCCGGGGTGGATCTGAGATTTAAACTCGGGCCTCATTACATACAGATGTGTGTAATTGAGTCAAAGGCCTGCGAGTCAGGTGGAGGCTGGTGGGAGGTGGGTGTGGAGGGTCACCATCATCGGAATTTTCCTTGATGAAAAACAGATCGAATTTTTCTAGGGAATTCCCTGGCGGCCCAGTGGTTAAGACTCCGAGCTTTCACTGCCGAGGGCTATGGGTTCAGTCCCTGGTCAGGGAACTAAGATCCTACAAGCTGTGCAGCTCAGCCAAACAAGACAGACAAAAAACACACCAACCAAACAAACAAAAAAAAGGGATAGAATTTTTCTAAAAAGTTGGTCAGACTGGATTCGAACACTGACTTTGCCACGAACCCTGAGGGGAGTCAAGCCCCCGCTCTGAGTCTCAGTCTCCCTTCCTATAAGATGGGGCGGATGATGAGAATGACTTCGTCTGTGCCCAGGGCTAAGCCCACGCAGGCGCTCCATTCGTGCTGGCCCTGAGCCCATGCCTGTGACCCGGCCTCAGCAGTGAGCGTGCTCGCTACCCCCTCACTCCCCATCTCATTAATTCAGCTCAGCAACTCCTTATTGAGCCTCATAAATTATCCAGCTCCTGCTGGCCAGCTCCACAGAGCTTCCCTCCCAGGCTGAGAGCCAAGGCCACTGCCACTTCGATGGGGGCGGGGCCTGGAGACGGAAACCTGAACCCCAGAGGGGTGGGGGCTTTCCACGGTGCTCGGCCATCTGAGCCCTCCACTCCCCGGCAGGGGTGTGCTCTTTGCCATCTCAGATTTGGCCTGCACTTGGATTCCCCCTGGGGCGGGACGCTTGCTCCCTCCCTCCCTTGAGAGCTGGCAATGCGCTGTTTCTAAACATTCCTGGGGACTCAGGGCTGTGCCTGCAGTCACTGCCCCTGCCTCAGCCCTGAGTGACCGCCAGCTCCTCCCAGGTCTCATGGTCTCCTGGTTCCCCACCCTTGCGCGGGAGCTTATGCACCCGGGGACACACACCCCGTGTCTGCCTCGTCTCCCATGTCTGGCAACAAGCCTGTGGCCCAGGGCCTTTGGCCTGGGGGAGGCTGGAAACTGGCACCACTCCCTCTGGCCCCAGCCGGCGGTTTCCAGTCCCCCCGAGGGGTTCAGGTGAGAGCGGGCAGCTCAAGTTCCCCAGGCAAGCGGGCCAGAGGGGCACCTGGTGAGGCCTCCCTTCCCCTCCCACATTGGCCGGGAGGGCTGGCAGGGCCCCCACCCTGCAGGGGACCGTGCTCTTCCCAGCCCGAGGGCCATAAGCACCACGGTGTGGCCCTTGGGGGAAGTGCTCTCCCTCTCTGTGCCTCAAAAGAAACATGGACCCCAGATTTGCTGGACAAACCCAGGATTCCATGGCCCGAGAGTGGGGAGGTTTGGACTTTGAAGGTCCCGGGTTCTGGAATTCTAACGAGTTCCCAGTTCTGGAAGCTGAAGGCCCCAAGAATCTAGAATTTCAAGGGGCTGAGGTTCCAGAACTTTGATGGGAATTTGGTTGGGTCCTGGGTTCCAGAAATCTCTCTCGGGTCCTGGCTCCTCTCTGGAGGATGGACTTTCAGGTCTCCCTCAGCCTCCCTCGGTGAGGCTGGGAGGGATCCGTCCACCGCTGTCCCAGAGGCCTGTGCGCTGGGTTGGGCTCGGGCACCAGGCTGGTCCTCCCTCCGCCCACCATGGTGGCCCCGATGGAATGTGGTCTTTGGTTCCCAAGGGCCAGGCCCCTCCTCTGCCTGAAGGTCCGTCATCACCTCTGCCCCATTCTTCTCCTCCCGCTTCTGTGATCCATCCGTCTTTCAACAAGTCCCTCTTCCTCTTGACACACCACCACCTGGCCTGCCTGGCCTGCCCGGCCTGCCTGTCCTCACGCCATGGACCCACCCAGCCTCCCCCAAGGGTGACGGTGACCTCAGACAAACTCGGACTGGAGCCCGCAATCTGCCACTGCCCAGCTGGGGGCTCGACCTTGCTGAGTCTCAGTTTCCCCCTCTGTGAAATGGGGATAACAAGGACACCGACTCGCCTGCTGGCATTCTGGCTGGTCTTCCCAGGCCTGACCTGCTCCTGCCACTGAGACTTTGCCCCCTCTGTGCCCCCCCATCCCCACCCCGCCTGGTGCACCCTTCCTGCTTCCTGGCTGCGCTCGCAGCTCATCTCCTGGCTGCGTGCATGGGGCAGCCAGGTGGGAGCCCTGATGCTCTGTGTGACCTTGGCCCACTTCCACGTTTCCTAAGTCCTTTAATGCTGCCCAGGTGACAAACGACGATGTCCTCTGGCATGAAAGTGCAGGGACCAGGCCAATCTCTGCATCAGTCCCTGCCCTTACCCGATGCAGACCTGCACGCCTGAGGGTGTGGACCCCCTCCACGCCCTTGTGCAGCCACAGACGCCCACACAGACACAAATGCATACATGCAGGGCCACTGTCAGTCCCCAGGCCCACCCCTGCCTTCCCCCACCACAAGACTCAACTTCCGGGAACTTTTCCTGTTTGTGACAGCAGCCAAGCCCCCACCCCAGAGGCATCACAGTCAGCCTGCCAGGGTTGGAGCTGAGCCTTGGCCCGGACTCACACGGTCCCTCCCTGTGAGCCTCAGTTTCCTTATCTGTCCAGTGGGTGTCCCCAAGCACCAGCGGGGGACGGACGGGTGATGAAGGGACAGGACCTAAGCCAGGCGGCCAGTGGTTAATGATGGGCACAACTCCGAGTGTGCACACAGACACACAACCAACCAGACGTGTGCTCACACTCACAGCCACAGCCAGCACCCTGGCTCCCTCCCCGGCTGTAGTGGCACCACAGGACACGGAATGGCCGGGCACAGACCCAGGGAAACCCACACACAAAGAACATCCTCCGCCACACTGGCCACAGAGGCACACGCAGGTGCCCGGGGCCGGTAGCACTCCAGGCACGGGACCCAAGCTCACCAATGCCCCGGAACACCCAGCACCTGGCAATTGTCACCGCCCACGGTGAAACACCCACAGCAGGGCGGGTCACCGCAGGATACACCCGAGGCACACCTGCCCACTCTCATGCCCCGCCCCTAACCTGATGGCCAATTGTCCTCAGCAGGCGATGGTCGATGGGGCGTACAGGGGTAGCCAGCCGCGCAGTCGTGTCCCGGCGGACCTGCGGGTGCCGGGCTGGAGGTGGGCGTGCGGAAGCGGAAGCAGGGCGGCTTCCGGGGCCCCTGAGGAAACTGAGTCACAGCGGGAGAACCACGCCGAGGACCCCGGCACTGCCACGTCGCGGCGGGACACAGATAGAGGGTGGGGCGGGGCGGGGTCCCGGGCCGCGGGAGGGGCGGCGAGGTCCCCTCCCGGCCTGGAGGGGGTTCGGCGGGGACTAAAAATAGCCCGGGGCTGGGGCTCCGTTCTGCGGCCGGCGCCCGTCTCTGCTAGTGTCTGTCTCCCATCAGCCCCTCCAGTCCCGCGCTGGCCACGCCCCTCCCGCCCGGGCCTGGCTGATGAGGGTCAGTGGGCGCCTCCTAGCCCAGCGGGGAAACCGCGAGGCCTCCTGGGGCCTCGGGGCAGTAGGGGCAGAGGCGGTGGCCGGGGTGGCCGGCGCCCTCTCGGGAGCCTCCTGGGGCCTCGGGGCAGTAGGGGCAGGGGCGGTGGCCGGGGTGGCCGGCGCCCTCTCGGGAGCCTCCGCCCGCTCCCCTCCCCCAAGCCCGCCCCAGCCAGGTCCCCTCCCGGCGCTCCGGCCGCCAGGCCCAGTGTTATTCACCGTCCGGGCTGCACCCGAGGATGAGAGGGGGCGGGGCGGGGCGGGGGCGGGCCCGGCAGGCCCCGCTCTCCAGGGCGCTAGACCCCGACCCAGGGACCCAGGGCTCAGAGCTGGTGAACCCGGTGGGGTGGGGCCTGGCACACAGTAGGTGCCTCATCAATGTAGGGTCTGTCTGAGGCCCCTGCCCGGGCTGGGGGTAGAGGTGCAGGGACGTTTAGAGGGGAGAGGCGAGCACACTCTCCACCCAGGAGCTTCGTGGGCAGCCTGCTGAGACAGGCTTCTCGAGCAGGTGATCTGGGAGGGCTGTGGGTGGTGGCATTCTAGGGGGAGGGTCCTGTGAGGACACAGGCTGGCATTGGGGCCAGAGGAGGCAAAGCCCCCTGCAGAGCCGCCTGCGGTCCGGGTGGGGAGGTGTGCTTTCCCTCAGCCCCCGCAGTGCAGGGTGGGGAAGGATGCCCAGAGCCCGGCACTGCAGGAGTGATTGAGGATGAGCAGCGGGCTGGAAGCAGGGCTGGGGAATGTCTCCCCAGGAAGGATTGGCTTCCTTGGAAGCCCCCAGACTCACTCAGGGCTGTGGGCCAGGGTCTGATCAGCCCAAAGCCATGAAAGCAGAGGATGACCACCTGGGTACGGCTAGAGCAAAGGCATGGAGGCTGGACCGTGATGCAGGAAAGTGAGAAGCTCCTTAAAGGTCCTTCCTGCCCACAGTCCTTGGGCCTCAGGTGGGTGAAGGGGGTCCACGGGCCTGGGGCTGGCCTTCGAAGATGTGTGGAGGGCAGGGCTTGGGCATGGAGGGGTGGCCTTGGGCCTCCTTGGTGCTCAGTTAAGGCCTGGAGTGAGCCGGGGCTCTCTGGCTTGGCCTTGACCTCACCCCACCCAGTCCTCGGGGGCCTGGGAGGGGCACAGAGTATAGGCTCTGAGTGAGAAAGATGGACTCCTGCCCTGGCCCTGCTCTCCCCTCCATTGGGTCTACCCACTATCCTTCTGGCCTCTGCATCCCTCCAGATGGCACCTCCTCTGTTCCATCCCACTTAACCGTAACTTCTCTTCCTTGACAAGGAATCTCCCCAACTCCTATGCATCTGGCAGAGCCCTGGCTCCGAGGCCTTCTCCTCTGTAAAGCCTAGTTGTTCCAGGCAGTCTTGCCTCCCCCACCCCCTCCTTAAGGGCAACTCTGTGGCAGCCCATGTGGTAGAACAGGTAGACTAAACCTGACCTGCCCTCAAAGATCCCCCAGGCTGGAGAGAGAGAAAGCTGGATACAGACAGTCCCACTCTCCTGCGCTCAGGGCTGGGCCCAAGGAAGTGACAGGGCTTAGGTAGGAGCCCAGGAGGTGAGCCAGGAAGGCATCCTGGGGTGGGGGTAAGGGAGAAGGGACTGAGAACTGGGGCTTTGTGGAATGCGTAGGAGTTCCACAGGTCCAAGAGACGTGGCAGAAATTACACGTGCAAAACTTTGGAGGCAAGACAGAACATGAGGCTTCGGGGAACTGTAAGGAGGGCAGACTTGGTGGGAAGAGGATGTGGGGCTGGGACTTCAGATGGAGTGGTGGGTGAGATGAAAGGGGACTGTTCCGGTCTCACTTCCTCTGGCCTGAGATAAGAAGGACAGTGCTCCTTCTGGGAAGTAGCCAGGGCAGGGGTCAGAGAAGCGCGCTTGACCTGCAATTAGCCTGGGTCTCACCACGACCCTGCAAGGCGGGGGGTAAAAATGCTCATTTTATAGATGGGGAAACAGGCCTGGAGGGCAGATAGGACGCGTCAAAGGCCACGTGTGGGTGGGATCTGAATATGAGTACTGGGCTTCCCCCACCTCCTGGGCTGGTGGCTGGGGGTCTCCTGGCCTCCGTTTCCCACCCCCCCCCGCCCCCCACCCTGCTCATAGGGCACACGGGAGTCGTGGGAGGGGTTGAGATGGCCTGGGGGCTCCAGATGGTGGGAACAGAGACCAGGTTCAGGACGTGCCCCCCCACCCCCACCCCGGCCATGGCTGTGGTTTCCTGTGGGAGCCAGGCAGAGAGCATCTATTCTTAGCTTCACTCACAGCCCAGGGCAGGAAGAGGCTGGGGTGGGGGTTGGGGACAATCTGAGGGACACTGGGTGGATGCTGGGCTGGGGCTGTGTCATGGGGCAGCTGGGTGGGGTGATGTGCCTCCAGTCTGCCTGAGGGGTCTTCCTGACACTCAACTTGTGCCCTGCCCAGCTTACTCCCCTCTATGGCTCCCCAGTGCCCTGGGAAAGAGTACAGCAGGTGGACTTGCATTCGGCCCTGCCCTGGGCGCACCTGTTGCCTTTTCCTCTGCAAGGCAGGCCCCACCCTCCTTCTCTGCCCGGCAGCCCCGTCCTCCCAGGCCCAGAACGGGCATCCCTCCCCTCCTCCAGGGAGCCTTCACTGTCCCTTCTGGGGCCCCCCAGACTCAGTGCCTCCCCTGCCCTACCCTGACTCCTTGCCTGGAGGGCAACTGAGCCCAGCTCTCCTCCCTCTGGACGGGGGGCTCCTGGCTAAACACGTGCCCAGCGAGTCGGGGTCACAGCCACCTTGTTCCCCTGCTCAGAGCCACCACCTCCCCTGGGTAGACTCCCTGCCCGGATTGCAGGAGGGGCGTAAGGAGGAACCAGGATGCTGGGGCTGGGAGGACTCCTCGGGGGGCAGGTGGGGAAACGGGCTCGGAATGGGAGGTTGGAGAAACCCGGGTTCTAACCCTGACTGCTGCTTTCTAGGCTTGAAAACATGTGCCTCTGTGAGCATGTTTCCCCAAATGGACACAAGCACTGTCATGCAGGGCTGGCGTGAGGTCCACAGAACACAGGCTAAAGGCCAGGCTATTGCAGCCACACAGAGCCTGTGCTCTGAGAACAGAACAAGGCCCGACCCATCTGGTGACCAAGCACCCTGCTAGGCGCGAAAGTGCCTCCCGGCTCTGCCCCCGACTCAACCCTGCTCCCTGCTCCCGGGGCCTGTCCCACACTCGATGACAGTGGAGCAGGCCAGGGATTAATTGGTAGCGGCTGCCCAGAGGATTCTAAGATTGCTCTGGCAATCAGCAATTGATTACTAACGTCTGTGGAGGGTTCCAAAGGGGATGGATATGGTCTGTGTTCTGCTCTAAAGGGTAGTCTTCATTCTGGACCAGGCTGGCTGGGTGGGACAGGGTCTGCAGTGGGGATTGGGCGTCCCATGACCAGATGCACTTCCCTGCCGAGGCCCCAAGCCCTGCTGTCTAGAACATGTTTACGGATGTATGAGCATGTGTGGGGTGGGGCAGGGCAGTGGAGGCCAGAGCTGAGCCAGAGGCTCCTGGGACATTGTTAAGTCGGGGTTGGTAGATGACCAGTGGCCTGGGGAGTGTCAGCCTCAGCGCTGGGGACACAGGGGCAGATTACTCTCTGTGGGGGGCTATCGTGGGCCCTGTGAGGTGTGGAACAGCATCCCTGGCCCCCACGCTGCGATGTCAGGATCCCCCCAGATCATGACCAGCACAGATGTCCCCAGACACCAGTGAGCATCGTCCCCTGGCCTAGGTGAGCAGCTGCGCACCTCCTGGAGCGTTCAGAAGTACAGCCTCCTTCTGGGAGCTGAGGCCGGGGGTGGGGGACAAAGCGGGAGGAAGCCCTCAGACTACGAGGGGCTCCCTGAGGAACTGTCACTGACTATCTTTAGGTGTGGTGGTGGTTTTCAAAAGGTCTTCTTGGCTGTTTAGTGCCTTAGTTGTGACAGATGTGCTGTGGTTACGTAAGGCGTTAACAATGGGGACAGCTGAGTGTGGGGTGCGGGAACACTAGACTATCTCTGCAGCATTTCTGAAAACCTAAACTTATTCCAAAATAAAATGTTTATTGAAAAGAAACATGCAATCTCACAAGTAGACCAATTAAATGAAAATAAACAAGATTCCCCCCCACCTAAAAAAATCGTTTTAGAGAAACAGCCTGAAACAGAAACGTTTCCAGATGAAATAGGGTATTTGGGCGAGGCTGTCTGAGGAGCTGGCAGCGGCCCTTCAGGCTTCTGACCACTTGAGGTTGGAAATGTCTCCGTAAGAAAACGCTAAAAGCAATCTGTTTATGGGGTGGGCCCGCCTGGGGCACCGTTGACAGTCTATGACTGGGTGAGTGATCGTACCTGCCAGGCCCTTGACTGCCCGTGTCTGAGACTTGCCAACAAGGAGGGCAGCCCTGTGGTGGCTGGGAAGTGGCTCTAGGAGCGCAGCCTTGAGGGACGCGCAGAGGCCCAGAGGCCCGATGGGGCGCCACAGCCGCACCCTGGGGCTCCTGTGCTCGGCGGCTGTGGAAGGATGTTCCCAGACCTGATGGCGGGTGGTGACGCATCCTCCGTGCCCACCGGGCGGAGGCTGACCCCAGCCAGCACCAGGGGCGAGCTGGGGGACCACAGATGTCCCCGGATGGCCTCTCCGGGAACATGCACTCAAGGGCCTGGAGCCTGGGTCCTGAAGCCGCTGGCCATGTCCAGGGGCTGAGCAACGCCCTGCAAGCCCCCCAGAGCCCCGGTGATGCAGGGCCTGTTTCTTGGGTGGGGCTCAGCGTCAATCCAAGGACTGAGGTCTGGAGACGCCTGCTTGGTTCCCTGGGCTCTGAAAATCCCATCAGCAGCCCCTCCTGTGCGTCAATGCCCCAGGCCCGCCTGGTGGTGGGTCCCCTCAACTCTCTGAGGCAGGCTCCGCAGCGTCCCCTGTTCACACCAGGAAGTGAGGCCCCGCAAGGAGGAGGCCCAGCCAGGGGAGGCTGCTGGCTTCCCACACCCCTGGTCAGTTCGCAGGAGTCCGGGAGGGGGCCCGCCGGTCACCGGCGGTAGCG